CCAGCCACACTGAAACTTTTAGAAGAGAAAGTGAGAGATACTCTTCAACGAGTTGGTACAGGAGACCACTTCCTAAACATAACACCAGTGGCACAGGCACTGAGATCGACAATTAACAAATGGGACCTTCTGAAACTAAAAAGCTTCTGTAACGCAAAGGACACAGTCAAAAAGACAAAAAGGCAGGACACAGAATGGGAAAAGATATTCACTAACCCTACATCTGACAGAGGGCAAACCTCCAAAATTTACAAAGAACTCAAGAAACAAGTCTCCAAAACACCAAAGGATCCAATTAAAAGGTGGGGTACAGAGCTAAATAGAGAATTCTCAGTAGAGGAGGCTAAAATGGCCAAGAGACACTTAAGAAAGTGCTCAACATCCTTAGCCATCAGGGAAATGTAAATCAAAACAACTCTGAGATACCATCTTACTCTGTCAGAATGGCTAAAATCAAAAACACCGGAGACAATTTATGCTGAAGAGGATGTGGAGAGAGAGGAACACTCCTCCACTGCTGGTGGGAGTGCCGACTCATAGAGCCTCTTTGGAAATCAGTATGGAGATTACTCAGGAAAATGGGAATTAATCTACCACTAGACCCAGCAATTCCACTCTCAGGCATATATCCAAATGAGGCAAGTTCATACAACAAGGGCATCTGCTCCACTATGTTCATAGCAGCATTATTTGTAATAGCCAGAACCTGGAAGCAACCTAGATGCCCCTCAACTGAAGAGTGGATAGAGAAAATGTGGTACATTTACACAATGGAGTATTACTCAGCAGAAAAAAACAAGGGAATCTTGAAATTCGCAGGGAAATGGATAGCACTGGAAGAAACCATCCTGAGTGAGGTAACCCAGTCGCAAAAAGACAAACATGGTATGTACTCACTCATATATGGATTTTAGACATGGATCAGGATAGTGCCAGTCTGCACTTCCACTGATAGAGAGTCTGGGAAACAGGAAAGAACCTAAAAGATAGGCATATATGCCTAGTACTCAAGAGACGAGGATGGAGACAAGATCCTCTGAATGGATGGGGAACACGGCGAGGGGTAGGGGGAAGTGGGACCTGGGAAGAAGAGAGCGGGTGAAGAGGAAGAGAGTAGGTCATGGGGGAACAGGAAGTTGAGGGGTGGGGGTAGAATAGGAGGAAGAGGGAATCATAGGATCGAATACAGATCAGGCACCAGAGTGACCTCGAGGGATCTAAAGGGATAACACCAACTGGCAAGCTAAGCAATAGTGGAGAGACCACCTCGAATGCCCATCCCTGATAATGAACTTGATGTCTATAACCATCCAGGAGCCTTCATCCTGTGACTGATGGAAGCAGAGGCAAACACACAATTAATCACTGAACTGAACCCAAGGAACCCAGTGACAGAGAGAGAGGAGTGATGAGCAAATTGGCAAAGAATGGGCTGGCAAAACCAGCAGAGACAGCTGATCTGAACAGGGGAGAGCTCTTGGACCCCAGACTGACAGTGGGGAGGCCAGCATGGGACTGATCTGGAACCCCCCAAATGTGAGTGTCAGCGAGAAGGCCTGGGCAACCTATGGGGCCCTGAGCTGAGGATCAGTGTCTATCCCTGGTATACAAACAGTCTTCATGTGCCTATATCACAAAGAGGGATGCTCTCTCAGCCTGACTCTTAGGGGAGTGCCTGGACCCTACCCAGAATAAAATGACAGACTCTAGATATCCCCTATGTGGAAGGATTTGGCAATAGGGTGGGAGGGTGGGGGGAAGGGGAGTGCAGGAAGAGGGGAGGGAGAGGGAACTGGGATTGACATGTAAAACAAGCTATTTAAAATTAAAATGAAAAATGATTAAAAAAAAGAAGGGCTGAAAAAAACAAATAGAACTTGAGGCATCAATGGCTTTATAGAGGTATTACTTTTGTTTGTTTTTTTCATATATAGAACAAACCAATTAGAGAAGATTTTTAATCTGTTTTTGCTTCCATACAATTTATTCAAAGTAAACATTAAACAAAAAAAATATGAAAAAAGAAAAACAATTGAGCAAGCACAAAAGAGACAAAAAAAAGTCAATTCACCCAAAGAATACAAGTTGATACTGGAAGATGAGAAAAACTTGTATGCACACGAAACAGAATGCATTATTGTGAAAATGACAGTGTTAAAAGACTTACTATTTTTAACTAAAAATTTGTGACAATCAAGGGACACAGGAATTACTTCAGAGTCAGTAAAGAGAAACTTACTAATTCATATTATTTACAAATTACAAAACTCCAAAGAAAGCCAGAGAAAGAGAACAAAGCTTGAGTGATCCCAGCTGTGATTACACATGACACTGTAGACCTCAGGCACAACAGCTCCATGACAGTGGCAAAAGAATGGACACGTAAATTATTAAGGGCAGCAGATTCAGAATCAATTTCATCTGTTGCAAAAAACAGAATTTCACCCAAATGCCAAAAACTTACTTACATGACAGAATAAGCAGACTCATCAACCAGTGTTGCAGGGAAAGTAAATAAATATCCACATATAAAAGAAGGAACTAGGTCTAACTCAATGAATTGATGAAATTTGACTATGTGCAACTGAAAAAAACTGCAAGAAATTGTAATAACTGAAACTAGGAAGAAACAGCATCCAGGATGCAGACATTTATTAGGAATCACTTCATAATATGATACATAAATACCCTGTATTTACCAAGAAGCTTAAAAGATACAAAGTAAATACTATAATGAAGAAATAAAACCAGGCATTGGTGGTACATGCCTTACATTCAAGCACTTGGGAGGCAGAGGCAGGCAGGGTTCTCTTTTGGTATGAGGTCAGCCTAGTCTACAGAGTGACTTCTAGGACAACCTAAAAGTGTTGCCCTGAGAAACCCTGGCCTCCCTCCCAAAAAAGAGACATAATCAAAAGAGAGTGATAATGCACAAAAGTTTACATAGTGAAAATGTAAACAACACCAGCGCCAGACCTTTACTAATGAAGAAAATGCTCATCTAATGTGCACTGAGAACTCTGTGCCCAGTCAGTATCCACACTCAAGGACTTTAATAAAAACAATCCCTGGAGAAAATGCAGGAGAAAGAAAGCACAGAGACAGTGTCAGCGGGAATGCACCCACCTGCTGACACCAGGCAAGTCAGTGTGTAGTTTTGTGAAGAGCAAACAAGACAAAGAGAAAACCTAGAGAAACTAGTAGTCAGGTTTACAAAGGAATGAAAGACGCTGCATGCTATCTTTAAATAGAAACAATCTCAGAAAGAGGAAAAGAAACACAACAGAGAAAAATAACAAAATACTATGTGTTTATATTTTAATTCATGATGTCTTCAAATGTATATGTATACTATGCCTCAAACCCAACATGTAATCGAGTATATCTTCAAAAGAAGGATACACATTTTCCTTAAAAAGGGAAAAAAACACTCTAAAATCAAAATGTATACTTTCTATTAATGTATTTACTTCAAATATAAGGATGCAAACTGCTAAAGGTGAAGGAAGTTCTAAAACATTTCCTGTCAGGTGAGTTGGTCATGATATAGTTGCTATTTAAAAAGTTGAATTTACCCAAATATAAAACAAAGAGAATTAACAAATGACCAAATAGTATATTTCCAAAAAGCTATGTGACACACAAGAAAGCATTCTCAAAAACAGTTTCCAAATTTAAGAAACAACACGCGATACAATTCTTGGAAGCAAACACTCAAGAAAGAGATTATTCAAAATATCGCCCAGAATTTCCCATGTAGCATAAATGAAATGTGCTACAAATTGTCAATAGGATAAACACGGAGAGAAAATATCAAGAAAAATGTCTCTTTCTCTGGGGATTTCACTTTAACTGTGAGATGTGAGACTATTTCAAACACAGCTCACAGACATGCTGAGTAGTTTTCCAGGAACCCTGAGGAGAAAGGGAGACTGCAAGAAACTATTCTCATCCCTAGAACCCTCACAGCTGCAGTTCTCCAGAAGGAGATCTTTGTAAATGCACTGTGAGCTTGGCTAAAACATTCCCACTCCTCCTACAACAAACCAACAGTCACAGCATTGTTCATGAAAGAAAAGAAAAACCATACTCCGGCAAATGTGCATGGGCAGAGACACTTTTTTTTAACAAAAGAGACATTTTCAGATACAGGTGAGCGACTATAAATATTCAAAAGATGCTTCATAATTTCATTTTCATTTAAAGTGAGTTTGCTAATTGAAAATTATGTGACCTGATATATTCTAAGAGCATGATTGTTGACCTTGCCGGGATCTATGATGTAACATGTGTACACAGAACATGAAGACACATTTCTGAATGCTGTATTTACATTTAAGATTGCACATGGATATGATGAAAAATAATGGGATGTAAAACGTTTCCTTAATGTTTACAAGCATATGTGTAGCACTCCATACAATGTATTCGGTTTAATCATATCTGCACTGGTGATTGTTATCTACAAAGCTCTATCAGGACGCCTAGTGTCAGGGTCAAAGGACACTCTCTAGAAGTAGAAGCAAGTAGTAAAACAGCGGTTTCAGAAAGCATGGATGAATATAAATACCAGTAGCTGCGGAATTGCCACCATAGCAAAGATTCCCTGTGTGCAAACGAACACAATGCAAATGCTCTACCAGATGATATTAAGAGTTATTTTATGACAGAACAGTCTGGCAACGGTATGTGCAAAAAGGAAAGGAAACAGAGTAATGGTCACTTCATGGTATCTCAAACCTGCCGTCCATGGAAAGATATCAACGACAGAATATCGAAAGCTGTGTCTGTAAGGATAAGGCAGTGGAAACTGGGTACCCAACAGCGCACTCCATGAGCAACAGGTCTAGGTGAGCGCGTGCCTGGGGAGGAGGATGAGCAGAAGGGAAGGCTGTCTGGGAGCGGGGCCAGGAGAGAGGAGACCCCCAGACAGAGAAGCGGTCAGAGAGCAAACCAGAGCAAACCAGGACCGAGAGACAGAACCGGGACAGGCGGTACTTTTAAGGGGCGCGAGGGGAGGAGCCGGGCTCTTTAGGACGGAAAGGACCACACCAGGCCACTGGTGACGACCTGAGCAGCAGCCTCCCCGCCCCGGGCGCCTGCAGAGCTGACAGTGTCCCTGTGAGCAGCTCAGCGGGCACAGCCCCGCCCCTCCCTCCCGGGTCCCAGCCCCGCGGCTCCTCTGACCTGGGAGGTTCCAGGGCCGCCGGGCTGCGGTTCCCGCCACTGCGCTGCTGCTGATGCTGACTTTCCCAGGCCGCCCGCCCCGCGCGGACACTGCGGCTCCGGACTTTCAGTTTCCCTCGGACCCAGCAAGAATTTCTTACCCGGTTCGGACTAGCAGGATACTCTTATACTACAGGGAATGGAGGAATTTCCGGTTCCTTCAGCCTGGTTCCCCAAAGAGGCTCCTCCTGGCTCCACCCACAACTCTTGGCTTCTGGTTTCCTGCCCTGTAAAGCTGCCAACCACGGGATCATTTACATAATGGCTTTCATCAGGCAAGCTTACTGCACACACATACAAGCTGCCCAAGCACCCAAACACGTCAAATCAAATCAAACCAAAACAAATCCCCAAACCTAGTGGAGCATGGTCTGCTAGGACCATTTAAATCTCAACAGGCAACAAAGAGAGGAACGTTTAAATTATTTGCTTCAAACTGTGTCTGCCTAGAGAGTGTATGATGAGCAAACAGTTGTCCAATGAGCTCTCCACTTCAAAAAATGAGAAAAAAAAATAAAGAAAAAAAGTCCAATCAAACAAAAGAGTAATGGTCACAAATTACATTTAAAAAATGGCACAAGGATGATCATTCTAACGACCAGAGGTAATTTAACTCATGCAAATAGAGAAATACAATCTGAGTTTGCAGAAATTGAAAGACCCTGGCCCAGTCTAAACAGGCAGCTGAGGCTTATGGAAAATTCCGTTTCCCCCACAGCTGAATAGTCATTGCTATCAGAAGGGAGCTCTGCCCAAGGATACAGGCTGCTGGGTGTCTGCTGCGACCAGATGGCCAGCCCAGCAAGATTGGGCAAGCACAGAGACCTATTGTTCCTCAGATGGGGCCAAGGCCGAGACTTGAGTTCCAAGAAAAACCTCAATTGCCCTCGTTCTGAGCCCTAGCCTCATTTAAATTGCCCAATCAGCGTCCTGTTACTAGGCTTCTCGCTTCTGTACTGCGCTTTTTGCTATAAAAGGACCCCTGAGTCCACAGCTCGGGGCTCTCAGTTCCCGAGACTAAGATGCCCCGGGTACCCGTGTATTATCAATAAAGCCTCTTGCTGTTGCATCCAAGCTCGTGGTCTCGTTGTTCCTTGGGTTCGGGTCTCCCTTCCGTGAAAGTATCCCTTTTAGGGTCTTTCAAAATCACCAGGTGAATGGCCATCTATACTTCCCTCCAAAGAGGAAGCATTAAAAAAAACTTTTTAACATATACAGATTTATCCATATAAGTCAGCAAATTTCAGGTTATGAAAGAAGGAAAATGATTACTGTAATATAGTCACAACAGATATATGGTAAATTTTCATCTTTGGTCATTATGAAGGATTTTAAGATTCATGCAATAGGAAGAACATACTTCAGTACAAGGTATATTACAAGCCAGAATCCTATAAACACCATTAAACACAATGTGAAAAAATGGAAAGACTCCAGACACCTCATATACTCTTTGCAAATTACCTCAGTACATGATGTCAATTGTTGCTCAGACAAGAGAAAAATGTGATTCTAGAGCATTAAATAACATTTCCCAAACTGTTAGTGACATAAAACTGAATATCAACAGTTACAAATATTCTTTGGGAATGTCCTGTTTTGATAATCTTTGAAATAAGGCACAAAACTCAAGTTCTAAATCAGTTTGTGATTCACATATCAACAAGTTAAGTATGAGATAAGGGTAGACGCCGTAGGACCAGCACAGTGTTTAAAACATAACTTAGATCCCTATTGCTAGTATTCAAAGTGCTCCAGGTGTTGTGTGCATTTGTGGGGGAGAAGACTTGTCAATGACCTTTCTCAGATGTGGACACTCTATGACACAACACCAACCTGCCAGGCAGAGTATGTTCCTACACTGATAGACACAGGACCAAGAAAGCTACCACAATCAATCAGCAGTAGGCTGGTCAGCAAAGATACTGTTTTCCCTCTGTCTTTGTCACAAGCAATATCCTCTCCTTGAACCCAAATAGTATAAATGATTCTATGTAGTTTGTTACTGGCACCTTGAGCCATGCTGGTGTCTATTTGCCACACTGCCACTGGAGCCTTACCAATTAGAGTGGCCTTAGATATTACCAGGAACCATGTCACACCCAAATCTGGGCTGCTGCCTGGGGCCAAGTCGCTGTACATCTTCCTCCAAAATTAGGGCCAGTAATCCCTGGGACCCATGGTACCAACAATGGCCATAAAGACATCCGTGGACTACGTATGTGGCATACTGTGGCCATGTTGGTTTCCATGGTCCATGCCACAGTGTCAGCTGGGCCTGGGATGCTGCTGAGGACCATGTCCCTGTCCACAGCCCTACCATAGTCAGGATCTGTGTTGATTTCTGTGGCTGATGATATCATCAAAAACAGTGCCAAGGAAGGGGAAATTTTCTACTTCAGTCAAGAAAAACAACTGAGGTTAGGCAGGTGGCAAAGGAGTTCCTGTGAGACCAGAGGAGCCATTGTCTGGAATTCTGATGGTGAATACTAGAACGCCTTGGAGACTGCAATTTATTGGAGATGCCAGTTCTCTGAGGTAACTGTCTAGAAGTAATGTAGAAAGGCCTAGCCCAACAGAGCAGGAATGGAAGGACCTTTGAAGTGTATTGCACTGAACATGGACTAACAAGATATTGACTTGCCCACCTTTTCTTTAGTCGTACTTTACAATTGTTTTCTCACTATGAACCTTTACCTCCATTTTGGAGTGGTAATGTGTATTCCTTTCCATTTCATGTTGAAACAATATTTTTGTTTTAGAGCATGTTACATTGAAGAGATTACCTTGAGCCTTGGATAGACTTCACACTATAAAACTGTGTTAAGACTATGAAAGAATGTGGGGAATTGTTGTCCCACTGAATGAATTTTTCATTACATATGGCTATGCATTCATGGGGGTCACAGTGTAGAACATGATAGTCTAAATGGTAAAGTACTCCACGCTGTTGGGATATATTGTTTGTGGTTTACAAAGTAAAGTTTGCCTGGGGATCAGGGTGCAGGGATAGCCACTAGATAGCCATTGAGGCCATGCAGTGTTGACAGACACCTTTAATCCCAGCCCTGCTGAGACAGAGGCAGGAAGATAAGTATGAGTTCAAGGACATCCTGGGCTACATGATAATGATTCTGTTTATAAGACAGAGTCAGGTACTGGTAGCTCACACCTGTAATTCCAGAAGTTGGTAGTCACACTCCTTTAATCGCATCTCTAGTGAGGTGGAGATGAGTGCGGCATTGCCGCTGAGAGAGAAATATAAGGTGGGAGGAGACAGAGCTCAGCTCACTCTGTCTGAGGTTTTTTAGAATCATAATAAAGTCTGAGGATTTCTAGAGACAGGAATGCGCAATTGGTCTGAGGATTTGGTATAGAGAAGGAGAGCCTGGTTGCTTTTACTCCTATATCTAACTTGGGATAATTATTATTAGGACCAATTGGAAATTGTGCTACACTACCCCAAAATTTCATATACTTGAATGCTTGCACCCAGTTAGTGGAAGTATGTTCTAAGCCTTAGGACATGTAGATTTCAGCCACTGCTCACATAAAAAAGCACATTTAAGTGCATTTATTCTCCTCTTCCTCCTCCATCTTATTTTTTTGTACTGAGAAGGGAAAAGCTGACCTCTCACTGCAAAGACCACATACTCTGGTCTGCCAAACAGAGAGAATCATATTATTGCCTCATTGAATAACATTTCTCAGCTGACTCCCACATGCATGCGGCTCTGATATGAACTCTTTGTTCATAACACAATGTCATTCCCGGGTTTAAAAAAGTTAAGAATGCAGGCATAGCTGATCTGATATAAATATCTGTCACACTAATGTTATGGCATGCACACAAAAACCCTGTAATAAAGATTAACCAAGCTCAAATACCACTATGGGTGAAAGGGTTATCCACGCCACACTTAAATGTTACAAGGAAACATATGCATGGCACAGGCAAACTGGCCAATAGCCAGTGATGGTGAAGGCCACAGGCCCTATGAGTGAATCTGCTCCTGATATTTTCTTATATTCACAAATGTTCAAAATGCATTTGACACTCATGTCCTGGTCCTGCTTTCAGTGTGGGTTTAAGAAACATTGTTTTCACTGGAAAAAAGTTACTTCAGAGTCTCATAACTGGTGAAATACAGAGAGCAATCCACAGTTTACTGGGGAGGCTACAAGCAGAATTCCATATTCCCCTTCTAAATTACAGAGAACATTAGAGAAGAGGAGGAAAATAATATTAAGACCTAGAGGATTGGGTAGTGACATATGAAAAACTTTCATGCCATATGACATAGCAGTAGGAATTATGGGTATATTAAAGCCTGGATGCCTGGCGACCTGGTCCAAAACCATAAATGAAATTGGAGGAAAGCTGGGAAGAAGACATGTCTAACTAGGAAGGGAAGACAGAGGATGACAAAGGGGTAATGGTGAATGAATCCACCTATGACATAATTAAATATCACTATTTGTTACTGAGAACATTTGAACAAAATTAATACTACAAACTATAAGAGGACATATCAATGTCTGTTTGGAGGCAGAGCACTTCATTATCTATATAACTAAACAGTAGGAAAAATTTTACAATACCTGTTCTTGCTTCTATTCTTTAACCAAAGCTGAACAGTAAGTGAAATATAGCTAAAGGAAAGGAAAAGGAAAAAAGCTAACCAAGTACAAGATACACATGTAAGATGGAAGCTGGGATTTACTGGAGGAATTGAGGGCAGCAAATCAGACAAATTTGCTTTTACATGCAATAGAATATGTTATTGCCAACATCACACTGGTAGACTGATGGGGAAGTCTTGTGTATATGTCAATGAAGCACTGTTGGCCAATAGAGAAGCAAGAAAGGTGGATTCTGGGTAGGAGAAACACAGCGAGTCAAGATGTAACTGCCATAGGGGTAAGAAGCCAGGAAACTTTTCTCTTGTAAGAGAAATACTTACATTAACAATTATGCGATAAATACTTAAGTCAGAGCTATCCAGTAAGAAAAAAGCAAGGCCAACAGCTCCATAATTAATACAGCATATTATGTATTATTTGAGGACTATAATGTGGCACAGCCCAGGCGACTGGCAGAGAAAAACCAAAGCAGCTGGCAAGGAAAAGGCTTCTTGCTACAAATTGTGTCGCCATGTGGGATTGAATTTCCATGTAGAATGACAAAAGCTTTAAAGGAATTTTAGAAACAAAGGAATGGAGAAAGGTATGGGTTCTTGGTAGCAGAATTTTTCTCAGGTGAGGTCAGTTTTGCTACCGACAAACCGAGACTTATATGGCTCAATTAAGGGAGTCTTCCTGCCTCAGCAGAAGCAAAAAAAACAAAACTAAACTAAACAAAACAAACAAAGAAACAAACTAACAAAAAAACAAAAACCAGCAAGGTTCCTTTAAGAGACTTTGCTAACAATTAAAAAGTTGTACATATAGCTGGAAGTGGCAGTGACCACATCTCCAAGCCAGCAGCTTTTCCTGATTGTCAGCATAGACTGAGACAATGAGCTGGGATCATGCTTACGCCAGACATTTGGAAAAACTACAGTTTAAACAGCCAAGGTTTTAACAGATAAGTCACATGGCCAGAAAAACATAAAGATTTACAGTACAGTCAGACTTGGATGAAGAAAAACCTCTAAAGGTTTACATTGTGTTTAAAAATATACATAGGATTGACGGAGAATAAGAAATGGCATAGTGGTAAATAAATAGAGAAGCCAGCTGTGGTGGCACACGCCAGTAGGATTTGCTCCAGAGGCAGAGGCAGGCAGATTTCCAAAGAGAAACACTGTCACAGAGAAAAATATATAGAAGTAAAAGTAATAAAGTAATAATAGATAAATAAATGAGCCACGTGAAGATTGAAAATACACAGGGAGTCAGGATACTGTATGCTATTGCGTTTTTCAGTGTTTTGATTGCTCAGAAAGGCACAACTACTAAAGTACACTTGAGTATAAATGCTGCTAAGTTAATTCAACTTATACATTTTAAAAATGCCTTGACTTCAACATTTAAGTCTAAGGATATGTTACTTTGGAAAAGACTTTTTTGTTTCTACAGACAATGAATAGCTGAATTCCTTCCAGGCTTTTGTGGTTTGATGAAACAAGACCCCCAGAAGCAATAGCCCAAGTGATTCAACATCTAAAACAGCTAAGATGATACAGATCCCGAAAATAAGGACTTATACAGGTTTCTGAGTTTTGTCATGATCCCCATGGTATGAACAGCGCCCTTTTCCAGCACGAAGAAGTTTGGAATAAGTGGCGTCAAAATCCCCATATTGTTTATAAATCTTTGTTTTCATTTGAATGGAGTTGCTTATAACTGGTTAATGATCCCAACCAATCTATTTTAAAAGATAATGGGGATTATGCTATGGAAATGAATACTTTGTATTGGTGTGGTTTTTCATTTATTGATACAAATTCAAGGTCAATTTTGTGATATGTATATTTCTCCTCTTGATTAATTATTGTGCTTATACTGATCTTTTAACATGTAATGCATAATTAAATACAGACTATAAATAGTTACTTATATAATAGTTAGACCTCATAGTTAGGGAAGTTTGGTTTTCGAGATATACAGAGATATATTTGAGATAGACAGTCTTCAAACCTTTCAAAGACTTTCTGAAAATGGCATTTAAAATGGTTCAGGGTTTTTCTTGACAATGAGAAATGTCTGTTCCTGTTACCAACAATTACGTCTGAGAGGAAGATGGGTATCGAAGACACTCGTTATGGAGTTTGCTTTCAAATGGTAAGATTAGCCATTTGGGCAAGAAGCTATTCTTGCCTGTACTGCTTGACTGTTGCTGTATAAACTGGATATGCAGGACCCACAGGAAAGTGACTGCTGAACTCAAATAGTCTTTCAGGTTTCCTGCTTCATGGAAGACTCTAGGAGACTTTCTGCAGGACACAGACAAATGATTGCAGTCTGCCAATGCAGATGCACATTTTGAAATTTCCTGCTTTGCTGAGAAGTATTCCAGACACATTGTGGCCTATGGTCTGAAGTTGGATGCCCCAACATTACAAAAGAACTTTGGATGACTGTCCAGGAAGTGACATGTCTCTGTCAATTCTATTGATTATATATTATCATTCTGTGGTCTTTGATGGAGTTGAAGACATGTAGTTACAACTGTAGTTTTCCTTAGTTATGATACAAGAGAAGCTACTTTTAGAACTTTGGACTCACAAGGATGGGATGGATGATATTTTCTTTAAATCTTGCTAAAATATTGTAAATATGTTCTTCCTTGATAACTGTTCTGTTACATATAATTTAACTATGCTAAAATTAAGACCTTTCTTTTTGTTTAGTCAGAAATGAGATGATGCAGAGGTCCTAGGTATATGTCAATTTAGCACCATGGGCCAATAGGGAAGCAAGATAGGTGCGACTAGGAGTCCAGGAGGATTCTGGGTAGGAGAAACACAGAGAGTCATGATGTAACCACCATAGGGGAAAGCCTGGAAACTTTTCTCTAGTAAGAGAAATACTTAGATTAACAATTATAGGATAAATACCTAAGTCAGAGCAAGCCAGTAAGGATCAAGCAAGACCAACAGCTTCATAATTAATACAGCATCTTGTGTATTATATGGGGACTACAACGTGCCAGAGCCCAGGTGACTGGTGTAGAAAAACCAAAGCAGCTGGCAAGGCAAAGGCTTCTCTCTACAGTAAACTTTATGTAATTAACTCAAATTCCACAACCACGATGCTCCAGATGACTTAGTTCACACACAAAAGAAAAGTGAACCTGACACATTTACACCCAGAGACAAGAAAGGTATAATACCTCAGTTAGTAAGATCATTTGAAATATATTGTATTGTATCGTAGGAACCCTTGTCAAAGGGTCTTAGAATCACAAAGGAGTCACAGACCATAGGCTGAGAAGTGCTATGCTATTATCAAGCTCTTGTTTTCAACAAATTTGGAGAAACAATTAGTGAGTTGGGCACATGTTTGTGAAATACAATTCCTGGGGAGGAACAACATGCACATTCATCTACTTGTCCCAGCTGGAAAGTACAAACAAAATGAAACTCAACTCGTTGAACTAAAGAGCTTTATTAGAATTGAGTACAGGAATGGGGAAGCAGTTGCTTATCAGAGCGTGAGGGACTCAAACACAGTCGCTATCATGGAATTAAAAAACAGGTATGAAACAGCTTATGAAAAATGCACACCTGGAACATACTGCATACCTGGAAGCATATTTACAAGATAAAGAGAATCCTTTCTTAGTGGTAAAATTATTCTTCTTAGGGTTATGAATACTCTCAGCTTCTTCATTTGAGTTAAACACATTGAATCTTGTCAGTGCTGGGGAGTTCTTGAAGCTGTTTTGAGTGCTGTGGTACTGCCCTAATCAGCTTTCTTTAAGAATGGATCATTCTAGTCTCCAGGACACTTACACAACAGGGCGTACTTCAGGATACTGTGTTTCATCTTCATTAAAAACTATTTGAGGTAGAACAAATAAAGTTTTAATCAAAATTTTCACAAATATCCATGCTTTCAAAGATATGAAAATAACTTAAAATTCTTTCACAAATTTGTCATGTTCATGATTCCCTAGTGTGGAGTCTCAAATGTAGCAAAGGACACAGTTTGATTGAAGCACATAACAATTTTTCCCCACTGAAACTTTTATCTCAGTTATGAGTTTTGACAAACATTCTTAGACCTGAGAGGCTTGTAATGTCTTTTGCATGTATATTACATCTTAAATTTTTCACTCCTGTGTGAATACTTGGATGTATTATCAACATTATTTTTAGACAAAGCATTTCTCAGGTTGAGTTTTCTGGTGGATGATATACTTAAAACTTGAGTTTCACACCGTGTTGAAATATTCCAGAACATATTCTAAGAATTGGAAACAACACTAAAGGATTTCCCAAATTTGCTACATTTATAAGGTGTTTCTATGTATTATCTGGTAATTTCTTAGATAGCCTTTTCTGCTGAATGATTTGTTACACTCACTATATTTGTAAGGTTTTGCCTGTGTGGATTCTCTGATGAGCTATAAGGTGGTCTCTTCTGTTAAAGTATTTGCCACATTCAATGAATTGTAAGTTTTCTCTCCTGTGTGAATTCTCTGATGAGTTATAAGACTTTGTTTTCTGGTTAAGTATTTGTCACATTCACTGGATTTGTAAGGCTTCTCTCCTGTGTAGATTCTCTGATGAGTTCTAAGATTGTCTTTCTCAGAATAGGATTTTTCACATTCACTATATTTGTATGGTTTCACTAATGTGTGGTTTCTCTGATGAGTTCTACCATGGTCTCTTTTGGTTAAGAATTTGTAATATTCCCTACATTTGTATCGTTTCTCTCCTGTGTGAATTCTATGATGAGTTATAAGACTTCGTTTTCTGGTTAAGGATTTGCCACATTCACTACATTTGTAAGGTTTCTCTCCTGTGTGGTTTCTATGGTCAGTTTTAAGACAGTCTTTTGTGTTAAAGAATTGGTCACATTCATTACATTGTTAAGTATTCTCTCCTGTGTGCATTCTCAGAGGAGTTGTAAGATAGAACTTCCTGGAAAAGGATTTGTCACATTCAGGGCATTTGTAAGGCTTCTCTCCAGTGTGGCATCTCTGATGAGTTGTAAGATGGAATTTCTTGAAAAAGGATTTGTCACATTCACTACATTTGTAAGGTTTGTCTCCTGTATGGATTTTCTGATGAGCTCTATGATTGTCTTTTGTGTTAAAGGATTTCCCACATTCACTACATTTGTAAGGTTTCTCTCCTGTGTGGATTCTCTGATGAGCTGTAAGATGGTCATTTGTGTTAAAGGATTTGATACATTCACTACATTTGTAAGGTTTCTCTCCTGTGTGGATTCTCTGATGAGTTGTAAGATTGCATCTCATTGAAAAGAATTTGTCATATTCACTACATTTGTAAGGTTTCTCTCCTGTGTGGACTCTCTGATGAGTTATAAGATTATATTTCTGAGTGAAATATTTTTCACATTCAGGGTATTTGTAAGGCTTCTCTCCAGTGTGGAATCTCTGATGAGTTGTTAGATGGTATTTCATGAAAAAGAATTTGTCACATTCACTACATTTGTAAGGTTTCTCTCTTGTGTGGATTCTCTGATGAGTTGTAAGATTGCATCTCTCAGTAAAAGATTTATCACCTTCACTATATTTGTAAGGTTTCTCTCAGGTCTGGATATTGAAATTTCTTTCAAACTTTGATAAATAGTTAAAGCACTTACCATACTCTGTACATTTGTTGGGATTTTCTCTACAATGGATATTGTAATATGTACTGAGTTGTGAAAAATGCAGAAATAATTTACTACATTTTGTACATGTATAGAATTTCTCTCTAGTATGAGATCCCGTATGCCTAATAAGGTTTGAGTGAGTCGTGAAGAATTCACATTGCATGCATTGCTGTGGATGCTCTCCACAATCAGTTTCTTTAAGCTTGGGTTCTGTATTAGACTCAAAAGATGCATCATGCTCTGCATTTTTGTAGTCTTCCTTTCCTATGTGAGTTCTTTGTTTTTGGCTAAAAATGGAACACAAATACAAAAACTTTACACAATCTTGATATTTGCAAGGTTCTTCCCCAGCATTCCGAATTTTGTGTCTGTTGAGCTTTAAGGTTTCATTAGAGGCATCTCTGTGGTTATCAAATCTGTACTTGTTGACATTTTGACAGTATCCTTTGTGTCATAACATGTATATTGGCAGGATTCAAGAATCACTTTGCAAGACCCTTTACACGTATAAGACTTCTCTTGAATAGTTTCATGGTCATGGATAAAATGCTTTGTGCCTTGGTGCCAGATTGTCTCCCATTTGCCACATACATGATGGAACTCTGAAAAATTAGTACAGTTGTGAATAATAGTAATTAATGCATGAGTAACTGATTCAATACCTGATGATATCTTACATTTTCTATAACATATAAACTAGTACCTTTCAGGGACAACACTCTTAACAGAGGACTTTTCTGCTTAACAATCAATAAATGGATGTTCAGAATCTCCAATTTGATCTACTGTAAATCACAGTAACCAATAATGCCCTACTCACTTTTAGTTATGTTTTTTTCATTTATTTGACATCCTTCTACAGTTTCCCTTCCTCACAATCTTTGTGTTCCCTCTGCCTGGCCGCCATCATGCCCCCAATAAGTCCTACTCTGTTTGTGTTCTAAAAGAGGCAGTTTTCACATGGATATCAACAAAGCATGAAATACTAAGTTTAGGTACATCTAAGTTCCTCCCTTTGCATTAATGCTGTTTGAAGCAACCAACTCTGAGGAATAGTTTCTGGATACCAAATCAGAGCATTAGCAAAGGTTTTCATCCCACTGCCAAGAGTCCAACAAATAGACCAAATAAACAACTGTCATGCAAATTTAGATGACCTATGTCATTATGTTGAGGAGACTTCTAGTACTATATAAACAGTTTCCCTTTCAGCTCCTCAGATTGGGAGGGAAAGAAATTGAGAAAGAGGCTCTGTGAAGGATCATATGAAGTCTGATTCCCTGCATCTTAAGATTTGAGACAGAGTCACATAACTTGGAATTCATAAACCACATTGCAGGGAACTAAAAGTGTCCTCTAGCTTCAGCCTCTATAGTAGAAATATTAATATCATCTTGTGCCAGTAGTAAACATGGCAATCATGAAATAAGTTAATGAATTACACAACCTTCTTATAACCAACAGACCTTTCTCTAAAACCTTTTGCATTTTTCATAATAAGAAATACGTGAAAAGTTAAATCCAGTAATAAAATTAAAATATTCTAATTATGGTAATTAAACCAATATATTTCTTTGAACGTTGAAATGTTCTTTGTATACGAGATAGGAGGTAGAAAGAGATCACAGAGAAGAATGATTTCTTTACTCTTCTAGAGAACAAGAAAATGTAAATGAAACACCAGTTCTCTTGGTAACCAAATTTTCTTCACTTCTTGGATTTTGCAGTTTCAGAGGGTTTACAGATACAAAATGTTGGGAAATGAAAAGGATGAATCAGGAATTCTATGACAGGAGGACTCTTACACATATAAAGTAGATAGTTGTAATTCTCCAACATCACATCCATGTACAAAACCTACTGTTCACAGTCTAGACAATGCCATTCTTCTTGTGAGAAGTCTACAGACACATCCCTGAGTGATAACAGACCCTGCAATGCAATATTACCCATTTACCATGCATTGCTTCACAAGATGACTTCTTATATAAAAGAAACCTAATGACCCAAGAAGTGATGGCACACACCTTTAATCCCAGCATTCAGGAAGCAGAGGCAGGCCAGCCTGGTTGCAGGACAGCCTCCAAAGCCACAGAGAAACCATGTCTGGAAACTTCCCCCATAACACAGAGACCTAATGAGTTAGAGAGATGTTTGTGATATAGATGAGGCATGTCAATTTCTAAAGGACATGTGTTTTCTAGAAGTCCCCCATACCTACTCTTTCAAAGACAATACATAGGTAGATATAGTACATTGCTTACATTAATTTGGTGTCTCTCCTCCATGAATATTCTGATGTTTTCTAAGACTTGAGTACCATAAAATATTGCCAAAGGTCTAAATTTGAACATTTTTTCTCCTGTTTACAGTCTGGAATATCTTAAAATCCTTTTAAATGTAGCTTGATTGACAGCACACACATGGTACTACAAAACCAGATGTCATCTCAGATCCTTGAGATTCTATGCTGCACCTTATAGTCAGGCGTCATACACACTACACATATTTTTTGGGAAACATATGGAAACACATAAAATAATATTACAATTTAATATTAATAAAAGATACTTTCTATACCACTCAGGGACTATTTTACTTTTTTTCTTGGTAAAAACAGGATGACATAATAGTCTTGCAATCAGCAAACTCTTAGGGAATACAACATACACACTTGAGTCCTAGATGCAGGATTGTACCTTTACGACATATGTGCTGATATCAAAGAGAATCTCATTGTCATGTCTCAGATGGTAAGGTTATAATGAGCAAAAGTATGCTTTGAATTTGTACATCAGTCAACCTTGCATAAATATGGACACTACATGGATGCTGTCTGAAGCTGTGTTTACATGACTCTATTCCAAAATGCTCAGTTCAGATTCTGAGGCCCAGCTTTTTCTTGAGTGTAAGGAGTGATATATCCAATGCTCTAAACAACACATAGAATCAAGTACTTTGTGAAGCTATTTCATGAGGAATAATTAGAAACATGAAATAAACAGAAAAGCAGAATTAGACAATATACTTGTTATTTGATTTTTCTAAAAGTTCACTCAAACAATATAGAAAATAAAAATTTCATGAACACCACTTCAGAATACTTAGTAATATATATATGGAAAGAGAAGTCATATGTGACAAAGCAATGAGATGAACTAGAAATGTTTTCAGTTACCAAAACAAATGTATGCAGTATAAATGAGAAATAATCTAACTCTTGAGGAATTTTGAATACATTAGTGTTTATGCAATTAACAGTAATGAAAATTTAAACCTCTTCTTTTCAACTCTACTTTTCTCTTCAATATTTGAGCTAATTCATCTGGCAAGAATTTAGCATAGACTGGTATCATTTATGATTACTCCTTTCTTTTTGAAAAACTAGAATATACAGTGTTATATAATGTCACAAGCATCCAACAGCATGAAGACATGGCTCAGAGATAAGAGCCACTTGCTGTTCCTCCAGAAAAACCTAATTCACTTCTCTCTAAACACATGACAATAACTACAATGTATGACTTCAGTGCCAATGGTGTGGTGCTTACCTCAGAGAAACAGGGGCATAATGCATCATGCAGTTCACATAAAAATGTGAACATGACACTGACCTAGAGAGTATTTACCACAGAAGCATCCATTGTTCTTGTGGCTCTTCTCTGAGTGTCTTTAGAAAAAACTTGAGCTCTTGTTGAAATTTCACATCTCGTTGTCAAAAATAGGAATCTGAACATAATATAACTCTGTTATAATCAATGACACACCATGTAAAAAGACTGCACCCAAGGCCAAAAAATACCATAAATCTTGTCAAAATTCCTACAGACACAACAACATGGAAGGATACATTTAGCGTGGTGAAATTAAATGACTATGAACCTAACATATTTACCTGGAAACACAGGCTCTTAAAATTCATGGGAAGACTCCCTCTCCACCCTCTGCTTGAGGTGAGTTTGGGTTCTGCTGGGGTGGTGGAGGGCAACACACAATATCGCCCTGCTTTGATCTTCCTGGGCCTGCTCCAAGCCTAGAGTGGACCCTCCCCACCAGGAAGGACCACCCTGAATCTGGACACCTTAGCCTTGGCAGACTCTCCCCCCCCCCTGCATGAGGTGAGTGTAGGCTCTGCTTGGGACCACAATTCCCAGCATCTGCCTGCTTCTATCTTCCTGGCTGTGCCCCGAACCTGGAGTGGATCAGCCCCAGAAGGAAAGAACACCCTAAGTCTGGCCACACTTCTGCCTTGGTAGCCCTCCTCCTGAAGAAGGACATGCCTATGAAAGTACAAGAAGCTTACCAAGCCCCAAATTAACTGGAGAAAAAAAAACTCCCCTCATCACAAAATAGTCAAGACACCAAACATACAGAATGAATAAAGAAGATTAAGAGCAGCGAGGAAAAAGGCCAAATAACATATAAAGTCAGACCTATCGGGATTTCACCTGCCTTCTCCATGGAAATTATGAAAGCCGGAAGGTCCTGAGTAGATGTTCTCCAAACACTAAGAGTCCATAGATTCCAGGCCAGACTGCTAGACCCAGCAAAACTCTCAATCACTATAGATGGAGAAAACAAGATATTCCATGACAAGCTGGGCGTTGGTGGCCCATGCTCTTAATCCAAGCACTTGGGAGGTAGAGGTAGGCAGATCTCTGTGAGTTCCAGGCCAGCCTGGGCTACAGAGTGAGTTCCTGGGCAGCCTCCAAAACAATACAGAGTGACACTGTCTCAAAAAAACAATAAATAAATAAATAAATAAAGATATTCCAACACGATGTACACAATATATACCCACAAATTCAGCCCTACAGAAAGTTCTGGAAGGAAACTGATTCTACCTCAAGATCTAGCAATTCCACTCCTGGGCATATACTCAAAAAATGCACATTCATACAAGGACAAATGTTTAACTATGTTCATAGCAGCGATCTTTGGAATAGCCAGAACATGGAAGCAAACTAGATGCCCTTCGACTGAAGAGTGGATAGAGAAAATGTGGTACATTTACACAACGAAGTACAATTCCAAAGGGAAAAATGGAATATTGAAATTAAAATCCTCATAATTTTCTTTTCATCTAACTAAGTTTGGTAAGTTTAAAATTGTGTGGCATGATATATTCTAACAGCATGTATAGTATTGTCTGGATCTAACAACACAGCACATGAAGACTTGTTTCTGAATGCTGTATTTATGTCTTAGATTGAGTATGATGATGATGAAAAATTATTGGGATGTAAAATGTTTATTGATTATAACCATGTATGCAACTGCATCAAATATTTTTTAATCATATCTGCATTGGTTCTTCGTGTTATTATTATCTACAAAGCTCTCTCAGGATGCCCAGTCTCAGGGACAAAGGACACTGTCTGGACTACATCATCTTAAGAATTATTTTATGACAGAATCGTCTGGGAACCATGAGTGAGAAAAAAAAAGTAACACACAGTAATGCCCACTTCATAATATCTCAAACCTACCATCCATGGTAGATATCAACGACAGAATATCGAAAGCTGTGTCTGTAATGATAAGGAGGAAGGTGGCTAGCCCTGGCAGCTAAGAGCACGTCCCTGGGGAGGAGGATGAGCAGAAGAGAAGGCCTTCTGGGAGCATGGATAGAAGAGAGGAGACCCCCAGACAGAGAACCAGTAAGACAGCAAACCAGGACCAAGATACAGTGAAAGACCCCGGCCCAGCCTACACAGGCAAGCTGAGGCTCATGGAAAATTCCATTTCCCCCACAGTTGAATAGTCCTTGCTATCAGAAGGGAGCTCTGCCCAAGGACATGGGCTTTGGGTATCTTCTGTGACCAGATGTCCAGACCAGCAAGATTGGGCAAGCACAGAGATCTATTGTTCCTCAGATAGGGCCAAGGCTGAGACTTGAGTTCTGAGAGAAACCTCAATTGCCCTCGTTCTGAGCCCCGGCCTCATTTACATTGCCCAATCAGGGTCCCATAACTAGGCTTCTCGCTTCTGTACTGCGCTTTTTGCTATAAAAGGACCCCTGAATCCCCAGCTCGGGGCTCTCAGTTCCCGAGACTGAGATGCCCCGGGTACCCGTGTATTATCAATAAAGCCTCTTGCTGTTGCATCCAAGTTTGTGGTCTCGCTGTTCCTTGGGTTCGGGTCTCCCTCCCGTGAAAGTCCCCCGCCTGGGGTCTTTCAACAGAACTTGGACAGACGGTGTCCTTGTGAGCAGCTCAGTGGGCACAGCCCGTCCCCTCCCTCCTGGGTCCCAGCCCCTTGGCTCCTCTGACCTGGCAAGTTCCAGGGCCGCCAGGCTGCATTTCCTGCCACTGGGCTGCTGCTGATGCTGACTTTCCCAGGCTGCCCGCCCAGCATACAACAGGGAATGGAGGAATTTCCGGTTCCTTCAGCTTGGTTCCCTGGAGAGGCTCCTCCTGGCTCTGCCCACAACTCCAGGCTTCTGGTTTCCTGTCCTTTAAAGCTGCCAACCAACGGATCATTTACATAATGGCTTTCATCAGGCAAGCTTACTGCACACAATCCAAGCTGCCCAAGCACCGAAACACGTCAAATCAATCAAACCAAAACAAATCCCCAAACCTATTGAAGCATGGTCTGCTAGGGCCACTTAAATCTCAACACCCAACAAATTAAATTTGTTTAAATTATTTGGTTCTACCTGTGTCTGCCTAGAGAGTTTCTGATGAGCAGTTTTCTAATGAGATCTCCACTTCAAAAAATGAGAAGAAAAATCCAATCAAACTAAAAGTAATGGTCACAAATGCATTAAGAAGATGGCACAAGGAGGCTTATTCTAATGCCTGGAGGTAATGTAACTCATGTAAAAAGAGAAATGCAATTTCAGTTTGCAGAAATCACAAGGTAAATGGCCGTCTATATTTCCCTCCAAACATGAAGTATTGAAAAAACTGTTTAACATGCACAGATTTATGCATGTAGGGCAGCAAACTTTAGGTTCTGAAGGAAGGAAAATAATTAATTTAATATAGTCACAACAGACATACAGTACATTTTCATCTTTGGTGATTGTGATGGATTTTAAGATTCATGGAATAGCAAGAATATACTTCAGTACAAGGTACATAAGAAGCCAATATCTGATATCTAAAATTAACCCAATGTGGAATGTCGCACCTGCTGTGCGGCCTGCATCCGAGAATGTAGCGAGGTGGTCGGGATAGATGACACAGAGACCGGTCGGTTGCTTTAAGAAAACTTTATGCTTCCCAAGTCAGCTTAGGAGGAGACCCCAGTCCGCTTAGGAGAGAGCTCTCAGGAGAAGTCTCTCAGGAGAAGTCTCTCTAAGAAAAAATGCTTCCCCCTTTTAAGGACTTCTGCCATCCATCTACATACAATTCTTTCCAGACTTCTCACCCTCCTGGCTGGTGGTTTAATCTCCGGCCCCAGAATCGGGGAGACACAGCAGGGGAACAGGAAGAGGCATCTAGCCATAGGGGGTGTGAAAGTCATGGTATTTCAGTGAGCAAGCCCTTATCTGAGCCCTATCAAGAGCTTTAGCACTGAATTGTTTTCAGTAAACATTATCTCACAGCTGCCTGCTCCCAGGCCAAAGGGGAAGTGGGTTTCTGCTCAAGGTCTGGTGTCCCCACAATTCACCCCTTTTTATTTTTAAATGAGGCACTCCTGGCTTAGGTCAAGTAGGGTCACTCTCCCTGGCCCGTCTTTGGGGGACCTTGAACCCCTGTCTTACGTGGGAGTGGGTCTTCCCCACAGGTTGGCCGTCAACAGAGTGCCCCAACCTTAAAATCATTTGTAATAAGGCTTTATGGATATCGGGATTGCCATGGGCTAAGGCACTTTGAACTCAGCATGAAGCCAGAATGCCTACTGCCACTGTTACCATTCCTAGGACCCCCACTGACATAGAGCCTCTTTGTCACCTGCCCATCCCCCGATCTGGGCCTTAGCATTCTACCACCAGCCTTTCTTTGCTACAAGGGTGATTTATAGTTACAATTTGACGGTCAAAACAGTGATAAAGTTTACAATCATTTAAAGATCTACTTAGGAAAGCATTAGAGAGTGCACTTGCACAGATACATTAGGTACAATCATTGATGTTCATAAAAAATATGAACAAGAGGCTTGTTGCACTATTTACAGAGTACCAATTTGTTCCTGTGGTGATGTAGTCTGCCGATTTAATGTCAGTAATATCAGCCGAACATGTAACCCGAGTCAAAGTCTTTTTGTGGCAGCAGGACAAACCACATTTCTCCAGAAAAACACGCTGGCATAGGTGTGATTCCAGAAACAGGAATTACCAAGTCTGATATTTCAAGTGACCATGTCCTGTTCAAATACAGAAAAGAGGCTTTTGCCACTCATCACAGTCCATACCAATGTCCAAATGTTTTAAATGGGTCATTTTTCCCCCAAAGGGAAAAGCTGGCAAAATGAATTCTGTTGTTTTAAGGTGTATCAAAGGCTAGCTGCTAATCTTCCAGTTTTGTTGGCTTTGGGATGAAAACTCACGGGTCCAGGAGGTTGATGTAGCAAGCCTGATGTGAAACTGGAAATCTCGAACTGACTGTTTTATTTCTTTCTCGGGCT